AATTAATGAAGATAATATTGATGTCTTGGTAGACCTTTTTAACTCCATATACAAGACGGGACACATACCCAAAGAGTGGCTTCTCTCAACTTTTGTGACGATTCCAAAAATCACAAATGCTAAAGATTGCAATGACTATCGAACAATTGCGTTAATGAGCCACACATTGAAAACCTTCCTTAAAATCATACATAACAGAATCCACATGAAATTAGAACAAGTGATTCACAGATGGGTTTCAGAAAGGGTCTAGGAACTAGAGAAGCATTATTTGGAGTCCATGTTCTGACACAACGATGCCTGGATATGAATCAGGACATATATGCTTGCTTTATAGATTTCAAGAAAGCTTTTGATAGAGTTCAACATGAGAAGCATTTAAGTATTCTTAAGACTAAAAACATTGATAGTAGAGATCTACAAATTATATCGAATCTGTATCAAAACCAGAAAGCAAGAGTAAGAGTCGAAGGAGAACTGACAGAGGAAGTAAGTATACTTAGAGGAGTTCGACAAGGGTGTATCCTTTCACCACTCTTATTCAACGTCTACAGTGAAGTGATTTTTCAAGAGGCTTTATTGGATATCGTGGAAGGTATTTATGTCAACGGAAATAGCATTAATAATATTAGATATGCCGACGATACTGTCATATTTGCAAGTGACATGGAAGATCTACAGTACATAATACAACATGTATACAATGCATGTGAAAGTTACGGACTGCAAATGAATCTGAAGAAAACGAAATCAATGATATTCTCAAAAAAACCACAAAATGTAAATAACCTGATTATCAATAATACAACGATAGAAAGAGTAAAAACATATAAATATTTAGGAACGTGGCTAACCGAAGATGGAGATCAAGTAAAGGAGATCAGATCTAGAATAGAAATGGCAAGAAACACGTTCATAAAATTGAAGAAATTACTTTGCAACCGTAACCTTAATCTAGAGATTCGCACAAGAATGCTACGTTGTTACGTCTTCTCTACTTTACTATATGGCATGGAAGCGTGGACAATAAAGCAGTCTGAAATCAAAAAATTAAACTCCTTTGAGATGTGGTGCTACAGGAGAATGCATAAAATATCGTGGATTGAAAAAGTAACTAATATAGAGGTGTTACAAAGAATGAAGAAAGAATGTGAAGTCATAAAAACTGTTAAAATTAGAAAGATTCAATATCTGGGACATTTAATGAGGGGTGAGAAGTCCGTATTACTGAGGTTGATTATGCAAGGGAAGATACAAGGGAAGAGAAACCCAGGACGACGCAAAATGTCCTGGCTAAGAAATTTGAGAGAGTGGTTCGGCTGCAGCTCATTAGAATTATTCAGAAATGCGGCCAACAAAGTTAAAATAGCGATGATGATTTCCAACCTCCGCTAGGAGAAGGAACCCGAAGAAGAAGAAGTGTCTAATTTCCAAAGTTCCCTTCAAAATTATGAAGTACGTTATTATAAAATATGATCGTAACGGTGGCATTTTATTTTCCCGAAGTTATACAGAAAACTTTGAACTGTATAGATTTTGGAAACAAGGAGTACAACAGTTGCCACGACAACTAAATGTCTCAGACCAGAGGTGAACCAGAACAAAGTTGAAGATGTTACAAGCCTTTTCATATTTCTAAATGAAGATGATGCAAACTTCATTAAATATAAAATGTTGAATGGATAGTTTATTAATGTATTAAAAATGTATCATGTAAAATATTAAAAAAGTATTTAATTCTATAATACTTCTTTTTCTTCACATGCAAAATTAATTACAATCAAGAATCTCCTATTCTATCTAAAAAGGGCACATAACAGCTTTTTGTATTTTCTTATTTTTAAACATAGGCTTCTATTTTACAATAAGTTCTGTTTAGTCGAGTCTATTAGTTTTATCACTCCCTAGATATGAGCCGTTGAAAACCAGAGTGGTCTAAGTCAAGAATTTCATGTTTCGCGTTTTCTCGGTATATAATTCTGTTTAACAGTGTTCTATTTTGCTACAAAATTTGAAAAATATTAGTGCATCCGTTCACTCACAGATGACACTATTGTAATATATGTCAAATGCTATGAAGGTTGCCGTTTTAAGGCAAAATGGTCTAAGTCTGACTTGGACCTTTCTGCCAGAAATTCTGTCACGAATTTTTTATAAGTGTCACGTTTGCTTGTAGTAAAATGAGTTCTAGTGAATCTGTAAATGAACCGTTTAGTGCTAGTGATAGCGAATACGAGCCAGAAAACAATGACCATTTAACAGAATCTGATTCTGATAGCGGTAAGTTTATTTTTTTTTATTTCCTTTTATAACCTCAAATGTGTGAATAGCAGTATTTTATTTGCACGTTTGTTTCAGTTGAGATAGTTCGAAGTTAAAATTGGGATCAACTACCAAGCACGTCGGCAGAAAACGAAATAGAGAGCCAAGTAAACACATCAAGAATGTTCGAAAAGAAAAAAGAAACTGTGGGGAACAATATGTGTCTACATCTAATAAGGTGGTAAAAGCAAAAGAGTTTCATAACAGGGAGTGTACGTGCAAGGGCAAATGCATTCAAAAAATTTCTCAGGAAGAAAGGAAAGCTATCTTTACAAATTTCTGGAACATAGCTAATTTTTCAGCACAAAATGCTTTTCTAGTTGGTATTGTAAAATTGTCTAAACCAGCCACTCACCGTCCAAGAAATGGTACAAGGCAGAAAAAAGCAGTATCCTACACTTATGTCCTAAATACCCCGAAAGAGTCTCATAAAGTGTGCAAAATGTACTTTTTGGAAACCTTTGCAATAAGTAATGGTAGGTTAATGCGTGCATTAAAAAAGGGGGAAATATCATTTCCTGGTGAAGATTTACGGGGCAAACACGCACCTAGCAATAAAACTCCTGAAGGAAATATACAGTTAGTACGCGATCACATAAACAGCTTTCCTTCTTATGAATCTCATTATACACGAGCTCATAATCCTAATAGAAAATGTTTAGATCCAGAGCTCAATGTACGTACAATGTATACCCTGTACAAAGAGAAATGTGTAGAAGATCCTGTGTCAGAAAGTTTATACAGACAAATTTTCCATCGCGATTTCAATCTTCACTTTCACGTACCATTAAAAGATACATGTGTTAAGTGTGACAAATACAAAAATCAGGTGACCCAGGAAAAGGACGAGAATACGAAGAAAGTGCTTCAATCACAACACGAGCTGCATTTACGGCGCAGTGAAAAGGCCAGAGCTGCTTTGAAAGACGCTAAAATTACAAGCATACGTGAAAAAGGAAGAGTGTGTGCATTCACGTTTGATTTAGAAAAGGCCTTACCGTTTCCAACTTTGACTTGCTCTGTAGCCTACTATAAAAGAAACATGTATGTGTACAATTTGGGTATTCACGAGTTTAGCAACGAAGACAAGGTGTTCCTGTATGCCTGGGATGAAACTATAGGCTCTCGAGGAGCACCAGAAATAGGATCTTGTATTCGAAAGCATGTTCTAGAAAATGCAAAGGACGCAAGACAGATCATTGCATTTAGTGATGCCTGTGGGGGGCAGAATAGGAACTTTAAACAGTGTTTGTTTTGGTTGAAACTCATTGCAGATTCCGATAATTTGGAAATGGTAGGCCATAAGTTTATGGTATCCGGACATTCCTTTCTCCCGAATGATCGTGATTTTGGTGTAATCGAACAATACGCAAAGAATAGAGTGAAGTATGTGCCGGACGACTGGTACAGTGTGTTTGAGAAGTGCCGCACAAAGAAACCGTATCGTGTTTGCAAGATGAACGGAAATAATTTTGTATCGTCACAAAACCTGGAAGCAGCTGTTACCAGAAGAAAGAAAAATGAAGATAACGCGCCAGTATCGTGGCTTAAAATTCAATGGCTACAATTTAGAAAGAGTGATCCCTATAAAATATTTTATAAAGAAACATTAGATGAGGAGTTTCCTTTTGATGTCATAAACTTGCAACCTGTACGAAAAGGACGTATCGCCAATTTTCAAAATATTGAATTTTCAAAAACTGTATGAAGCTCCAATACCAGTTACGATTAAGAAAAAAAAAGGATATGGAAGATCTTTTGGCGTTTATACCGCCCATTCATCACGACTTTTTCAAAAATTTATCCGTAAATGGAAACAACACTGCAGAAGTAGGTCCACTGGAAGATATTTCGGTGGCGAATGGAGACGACGATGTTTTTTATGAATAAAAATTTAATTTGTAATAATATAATACACAAAAATACACGATCGTTTGTAAGTCTAACTTTTTTGCTTTACTCCAAAATAATGAACCTGTTGAAAGCCAGAGTGGTCTAAGTCAAAATATTAACAAAAAACATAAAAACTTCGACTGCTGGCTGATTGTTCCGCTGGAATTACTTAAGTTTAAGCATTTTTTATTGAAAATTATTCTGATCAAAGTCAGTTTTTATGTTCCCATTTAACGCCAACATGTTAACTTTAAGTCGTTGTTTCTCGAATTTCAACACTTCTGACTTAGACCACTCTGGTTTTCAACGGCTCATATATCACAGAAGTTAACAACACCAATATTTTTTATTTCAACTTCATAGAAAATGATACTTTTTCTTAAATAAAATTAAATAAAAATAAAAACTTTTATATAATTTAAAATTAGATATCTACGCCACTGTTCAATAAAGTAGTGACCACTCTAACATTGTTGCCATTTTCTAGAAATTTACTTGCTCTGGTTCCTATAAATTTTCTCACGAAATTACGTGTCGACTATAAAATGACATTTTTTAGCTAATTTTCCCAAAAAGGCATGTTCAAAATTAAAGCCTAACCAACATTGGCATGTCAAACAAAAAAATTTCACGTCATTTAGCACGCTGACTATGCTACTACCGAGTGGTTGAAATAAACAATTCCTTGGCCTGCTTAAATTACGTTTTTTTTTCGATGGCTCTAGTCTCATCCACAGAAGAGATAAGTTTATATTATGGACCTAATAAAAAATAAGAGAACAAGATATATAATATAGAATTTTATTGTTATCATTTCAATTGATTACTCATAAAATGTACAATAAACGAATAACAGGATAAACAAATTAATGAGCAATAGTGAAACCTCCGTCTTTAAAAGGACTAAGAAAGTCCAACACTTAATATTAATAATTACTTTCTAGTTTATCTGTCTAGTTTATTTATGGCGAATATACAAACCAAAATAGCATTAAGTATTTAGGCGAACTGAGCCTCAGGCAGGCGACTTTTTACATGACCTTTAACTGCACTTGAATTCGATGCGTAACACTAAATATACAACTCAATCTCACATTTTATTATTGCCGGATTACTCATTAGTAATATCAAAAATAAAACAAAATACTCTGACTCACACACTCAGCACCATATTTGCTATTTGGGATTGTAGTAAGGAGGCTGTTGCATATGTGGTGGACCTGGGCCTGGTCCCATGGTTTGTCCACCCATTTGACTACGAGTGCCAGTGGCATACAGCTGTTGCTGGAAGTTGTGGAACTGTTGTGCATAATTGGGGTCAGCAGTTGTAGGACAGACAAAAGGTGAATTTTTAAAGCTATTGTTTTGTCCCATCGAAGGAGGAAGAGGTTGACTGGCATCTGGGGCTCCGATGCCCATCGGACTGCCCTTAGGACCGCTAACGAACATCTGTGGCGAGGGATTACCCATATTCGGGCCAGGATTGAACATCGGTTCCGGTCCTCCAGGGGGTCCGTTAAAAACCATTTGTGGCATTCTCATACCCATTGGTGGTCTCATAGGACCTCGCATCATAGGTATCATTCCTCCGGGCATTCCCATGTTGCCACCCATAGGTCCCGGTCCATTTCCCATATGACTACTCATACTCATTGGTCCGATAGGTCCGTCTTGAGTCATGGGTCCATCCATGTGTCCCATATGTGGAGGCATAGGACCTCCTTGCATCGGTCCATTGTTAGGACCACAAGAGGAGAAATATTGCATATTCTGTGGTTGCATTTTTGCATCCATCATATTCATAGGAGTTGTGATACGTGTCAAGAAATCCACTATTGGTGGTCCTCTCGGTGGAGGAGCCTGCCCCACCTGAGATTTTGCTGGTAGATATTGTATCGTGTTTGGTGCATTAGGCTTGACTTGGACATTTGCTCCATTATAAGGATTTGGTCCTGGGGGACGTCCTATCATTCTAGGCATAGGCATATGATTTGGAAAGGCACCTGGCAGTTTAGGCGAAAGGGAGCGTATAGGACCCATTGGCGAATTCGGATGAAATCCATGGGGAGGACCTTGCATAGGCATACCCATCATACCACCCGAACCTTGATCCATTTCGTTCATACCATGGCATCCACCCATATCCATCATGTGCATCGAAGGAGAACCAAAATTCATCATTGGAGGACCTTGATTGCTCTGCCCATTCAGTGAACTTGCTACACTATTTGTTAACTGCTGACTCATTTGTGCTAATGATGAGATCGGATCAAAATGTGAAACCTTTGGATTGCCGGACATAGTACTTGTACAGTTTGGATTTAAAGGAACATTGTCTCCTCTAACACATGCATAATTAGGCATATCTAACGGTTTAGCTTGGGGTGATAAATTGACGAAACCTCCTCCCATTTTAGCACCTGGAGAAGCATTTGGTCCTGGAAATCTGGGAACATCCATCATGTGCGGGCTAGGAGTTGGAAATAGGTCTGTTTTCAGAGGGTCCGAATTTGGACCAGGAACTGTTTGTGGACTTAACACTGAAGCTCCAGAAAGTCGCTGGGTCGGTTTTTCACCTAAAAAATAATTGACAATTTAAAATTGAGACTAAAAAATTAATATTTCAGTTAAACTTATTACAACAGGTATTAATATACAATAACCTTCCTTTATTTCGCACGTTCGGGATTTAACCATGATAGATTATCAAATATTCCGGTTTATATTATCTATAATATAATGCATTTTGTTGAAGGTAATGGATTTTCTAAAGAGCTATGACGTTGGAAATCGTTGCGTAGATCTAACTGGCAACGATGCATTGAAAGGTTAAAGTGAAAACTGAAAAATTTATGGTTCCTTATGATGGCCCAGGCGAAGTGGGTTAAAAATAACAAGAATTTAATTGCATAAGTTTACCTATATTTATTAGGTATATTAAATTTATAATTTTATATTTGATGTATGATCACAATTTTAATCTTCTGTAATTAAATATCTTATTGTTTAAATTATATTTTGCAATTAAATTCTTGTTATTTTTAACCCACTTCGCCTGGGCTATCATACGGAACCATACATGTGTTGAACTTTTTCAGTTTGCACTTTAACATTCCAGTGCATTGTTGTCAGTTAGATCTACGCAAGTATTTACACGTCATACCTCTATAGGGGCCGGGGGATGAGCTCTTCTTCTAATCGGCGTAAAGCTGAGCTGGAAAAGAACAAATCTCAGGGGAAAAGTTTTGCACGGAGAGTCTTAGGACTTTGCACCTCCTTAAACTATCCCAAGACCGCTGGGTACCCCATGATTGAGGGTGTGTAATCAATCTTTGATTGCACCCTTCATGTGGTGGTCCTGTTAAAACTAAACTCAGGGGATCTTGACTAGATAGTCGATATACAATCTCCACGCCAAGACGTGAGACACTGTGGTGAAGGCTGTAAGGCACTGGGGCGACAGTGTCGCAAACGGTTCCTTTGGAGCAATAGGTCACACCCCTTAGTATTTAGACCTTACCCTCGCAAGCGGGACCCTGCGAGGGGTTGACTGTCTTTCCCTGGCTACTCGTGGGACCAATATGGAATATAAAAAAAATAAATATAGAAAAAACTCAGGACCAAACGGTTCCCGATGTCGAAGAGCCAGGGAACTCCAGAGCCAAAATCACAGTTCCTAAAGCCGTAGGGCAGGGAGCTTCTGGAGAAAATCAGAACGCCGAAGGGCGCGGAATTTCTAAAGAAATCGTCCAAGCTGATAGGCAAGGAAACAAAAAGGCTGTCAGAGTAACAGCGTTAGAAGACGTTCATCTCATGAAAGACGAAGAAATTAGGGCTGCAATGCTATCTGGCGTCTCTAAAGCCAAAATCAGTAGGCTGGTGAAAGATTACGTTCAAGCCAAAAGTGCTATAATCTAGGTGAATTTCATAAGGCAGCTGAAAGGGCAAAAGGGATGCCGTCAAAGCCATTAGAGGTCATGACAAAAGTAATACAAACCCAGAAGACCGATGGGCCAAAAAGGCTAAGAACCGAAGGTGTGACTTTCAGCGAAGCTGCCGCTTCTGTCAAGGTTGCAGTGGTACTAACAGTATTCTCGGAAGCCAAGATGGATGTAGACAAGTTTAAGGCAGTCGAAATAGCCATTTGGGTGCGTATGACAAAATTCCGGAAGCAGGACCACAGGTTCGCTTCCTGAAGAGTGCATACAGGTCGTGTTTTCTGGAACTTAACTCTGCGAATTAAGTGCGCGGTGGCTAAAGGAGGTGATTCCAATCCTGAGGCCTTGGGAGAGTGCATTTCTCAGGGCTGTGGAGGAGAAGACATACCCAAGCCGCACTCCAAAAGGATCCTTAATAGATTAAGGATAAGTAACCATTGGCTCAGGACACACCTATGGGTAGTCTGGGGTAGTAAACCTTCAAAGGGGTGTTATGGACGTTCTCGATGGATTCTGAATCTCGAGAAGAACTCCAAAAATGTCACCCATTTTCGGAAAAGGACCGTTAACGTTCCGACAAAAACACGGAATGACAAGCCAGTAGCAACTCGTTCCAGTGAAATAGGGGAAACTTCCCTACATAAGGAGGTTCAGGAAGTGGAACAACCTTCTTTGGGTGGAGCTGACACCCTCATAAGGACTAGTGTCCAAGTGTGTGTCGGACCCACGGAAGAAGGAATGTCCACAGATCCAGAACCGGCCATCTCTTCGCAATGAAGAGATAAATAAGGCTCCTGCAGGCCAATGTTCAACATTCAAAAGCCGCATCGGCAACGCTAGTTAGAAGAGTGGAAAAAGAAGGCATTGATGGATAGGTGAGAAGATTGCTGGCCAAGATAAGGTTTTATTCACACCCAAAGCTATAAGGCCAAGGTCGTGTATAATTCACAGTAATAGAGTAGATTGTACACTAATCCCGGTGCTCTGCACCGATGATATTGTTACAGCTGTTCTAACTATAACCACGGAAGTAGGAGAGAAGAAACTGGTGGGATGTTCAGCCTAATTTCCCGGTGATGAGGCTTTGGGTCCACCAAGCACCTTTGAATATTGTCTAGGAAAAGGATTACAGCTCATTATAGGATGTGATGCCAACCTACACCACGCCATATGGTAAAGCACAAACGTAAGGTTTGGTTATATCCAATATAGCAAACATGCCAACGGCACGCAAAGAAGTGTTAGATTTAACACTCTGCACAAGCAAGATAAGTGATATAATAACAAATTGGGTTGTGTCTGACCAACCCTCATGTTCGGATCACAGACATATACGATTTGACCTTGATATTTTTCCATCGGAAATTAAATACAGAAATCCTAGAGATACCAGAAAGGGAAGACTGGAATAAAGGTGTACCCATAAAAGCTGCTGCTACCTCGTACACGGATGGCTCAAAAACATCGGAGGGTGTGGGAGCCGGCATAGTAGGGACAAATAAAGTGAGACATTTCCGGTAAGTCTATCTAAGGATGTGACAGTTTTCCAGGAGGAAATAACTGCAATCCATTACTGTGTGGAAGAAATAGAAAGGCAGGAAAGAACGTTTTGTTCAGTTGCCATCTTCACAGATAGTCAGGCAGCGCTTAAGGCACTTAATTCTGTGGAGGTTAATTATAAGCTAGTATGGGATTGCGTGTGTGCCCTAAATAAACTAGAAGACCGTAGCAAGGTTACAGTAGCCTGGGTACCGGAACACGACGGTCATAAGCGCAATGAAAAGCAGATGAAATGGCCAAACAAGGCTCATCAATGCCATTTATTTGACCGGAACCCTTCTGCGGCGTTGCAAAGTCAGTAACAAGAACGGCTACAAGGAAGTGGGTAGCTCACAAATCTCTGGAATGGTGGAGGAATTCACCAGGACAAAGACAGGCGAACCAGTTCATTACAGAACATTCGCGAAAATTTACTGTCACCTCGAAGAAGAAACAGCAGGGCACATTTTATGTCATTAACAGACAGTCTGGCAAATGTGAGGTTCTTTGCATTAGGAGAAGAAAATCCACCGGCGAAGAGCTACATGGAAGGTACAGTCTCGAAGCTACTAGACTTCTATTCACAGCTATTTTCACTTTTGAGATTTCAGCTCTGAACAAGGCCACCTCTCTTAATCTAATCTTAAAATCTAATCATAGCTCTATAGAAAATCCATTAGCTCTAAACATTATTAACAATTCTCAAGTATAAGGAAAACCTGCAAACTGAGCTAAAATTACTATTAGTGAGAATGAATTTGTTTAAATAATTTCTAATTCAGCCTAAATTGAATATTAAATACAAAAATGAAATTGTGAAATCTACGTATAGGAGAATTTACAATAAACTGAGCAAACTTATGAGAAACTGAATAAGAAAGTAATAATTATTGCAGAAGTACTACAATGTTTTTATGTTTATCCGTATTTACAGGTATTATGACTGACCACGAAATTGTTCATTTTAAATTGTATAAAAAAAATCAGTTTTTGATTTTTTAAATTAAATTATGACATAATTTGTATAGTTTATAAATTAGATTCCATGCGATCGCCGTTACAGTAATAGATAACGAAATGAATTATTTATGTATTAGAATAAATTCATACCTGCAGTTACGGCAGTGGGCGTGTGAGGGCTGGGTATTTGGAAGCGACAACCCTCAGAGGGGGTGGGAGGAAACCTAGGTCCTACATCCATAGACGTAGGCGTGTTTGAACCTGAAACTCTCGAATGTGGAAGATCTGACGTCGTAACTGGGAAACCGCTGTCCATTGTAGTGGGCAAAACCCTAGAATTAAATGATTCTATTATAAGAACTGATATGTAAAAAAAAATAAATGATTTAGAGTAGGTGAGTAAAAAGTAGTGTAAATATCTAACGCTGAACATATAACTTTTCTTTAGATTTGTTCTATTGATACTGTCTTATCTGCACAGGTCAGGGATCGTCCCTGAACGGGTGTATACTAGTTCGCTCCCGCGGTCAGATTTTAATACCCCACAGAAAAGGGGCATAGGTACAGTAGTAAATTAGATCCGGCCATATATTTCGTAGAAACGATATTTGAATAATGTCTTGTCAAACTTTGTATTTACCTATTAATATAACACTACCATCATTGTTTAAAAAAGAATTAGTATTTTTTAAACAATGCTACTATATAACACTACTTCTTACTTAAAAAAATATTAAAATTATAACGATAATATCACTAAAGTATTATGATGTTAGAGCTCATATTCCCTTGTTCAATATTTGATTGGGTTTTTCCGTATCAAAAGTTGCAATTGATATATTTCTTTGAAAAGATTGGTAGGTAATTAGTAGCATAGTATAAAAAAGAAATTAGTAGTCTACCAGAAATTTTATGATAAGAAATAGGGGTGGTATACTTTAGTTCCAGTTTGAATGTCGTTATACCTAGTTCATGATGGAGAAATCTGAAGTAAGTGAAAAGGGCAAGTCAATGTTCAGTATAACAGACAAGTTCAGACAAGTATAACTTCCATAAAATGCTTGCTAATAATATCAAACGTTGGCAGTGTGTAGAAAGATGTTGCAAAGCATTTGTTAAAACTTTAAATATAGTGTTTAACTTTAAAAAACAGTGTAGTCGAATGTAGTCATAACCATACCCATGAAAGTTTATCAAAAACAGTGTTAAACCGGCAAAAATTAAGTAATAGTGTTAAGCGGAAGGCAATGGATGATTTGTGTGAAAAACCATTGAAGTTGATACACAGCGAAATTAAACAAACAGGCACTAAAAGTTTTACTGTGGAAGATGTACATTTGATTAGAAAAAAAATATTTATAATGGCAGAAAACAAGTTATTCCCAAAATTCCGAAGTGCGCGCAGGAAGTACATGACTCGTTAAACTCCGTGGAAGTGACAACCAAAAAGAACAATTTTTATTGAAAAATGATCGGTAAAAAAAAATTTGTTGCTTTTTCTTGTGTATCTAACTTAACATTTTTAAGTAAATTAGAAACAATTTATGTTGATGGAACTTTTAAATACTGCACTAAATTGTTTATTCAACTATTTACAGTTCACGTACTCGAAAATGTGCCGTTAGCATTCTTTTTGCTTTCAAATAAGTTAACAAACTCATATGTGACTGCCTTAAATTGTTTAAAGACGGAGTGTCAAAAATTGAACTTAAATTTTAGTCCCAAGGTTGTGTATGCCGATTTCGAAAAAAGCGATCCATGCAGCTGTAAGTGAAGTGTTTCCATCTGCGAAAATAAAAGGATGTAGGTTTCATCTCGGACAATCATGGTGGAGAAAAATTCAAAAGTTGGTCTGGCTACTGAGTATTCAAAAGACAATTGTTCAATGTAATGGTAGAGAATATCCCATATTATGTTAGTTTTTACACTTGTATTGCTTTCTTATTATACCTATATTTTAGAATAGACACAAAAATTATTTCAATAATTTTTAAAAACAATTCAAAATTTCTAATATAATTTCTAAATCAATCACTAACATTTTTCAAAATACATAACAGTAATGAGCGCGCTAATAACCGGCAAAATAACGCAAAAGATGGAAACATTGTGAGATAAATAGAAATGAAACTATAAGTAGAGTTATGTATGGGCAGCTTGAGACAGACAGTGTGACGTCACTGGCGCCAATGTCGGTAAGCATTGGATCTGCAGTACCGGCCTAGCATGAACCACTTAGTCAGGATCGAAACCGATGATGTCATAGTTTGACTATTATCCGCTAGGCGGTGCTATTCATTTTAGTTACGTTGAGACAAAAAACAAAGATGGCGGCGTTGCCAAATGGGCGCTAAAACGTATCTTCATTGCTATTGGTCCGATCGTGACGTACGAGGAGTCGGTGGAACGGGGCGGAGGTAACGAATATGTTGAGACAAAAATCAAAGATGGCGGCGTTGCCAAATGGGCGCTAAAACGTATCTTCGTTGCTATTGGTCCGATTGTGACGAACGAGGGGTCGGTGGAACGGGTAGAAGGTGGGAAATATGTTGAGACAAAAAACAAAGATGACGGCGTTGCCAAATGGGCGCTAAAACGTATCTTCATAGCTATTGGTCCGATTGTGACGTACGAGGGCTGGATGGAACGGGGAGAAGGTGGGAAATATGTTGAGACAAAAAACAAAGATGGCGGCGTTGCCAAATGGGCGCTAAAACGTATCTTCATAGCTATTGGTCCGATTGTGACGTACGAGGGCTCGATGGAACGGGGAGAAGGTGGAAAATATGTTGAGACAAAAAACAAAGATGGCGGCGTTGTCAAATGGGCGCTAAAACGTATCTTCGTTGCTATTGGTCTGATTTTGACGTATGAGGTGTCAAATGAAAGCGTTGGTGACATACAGAAGCCATGTATACGCTCGAACATTCTTCTTCTTCTTTTACGTACAGTGCCTAAGAGAACGTCGACGCAGAAACGTACAACAACGTGTGAGGTATAGATGCTCGTTCTTCATCGGAATGTTGACATTCTTCCTGAACGAAATCTTCACCGCATTTACGACACAAAACGAACATGCATTTACTGTTCATCTTAGCAGGAAGAACAGGGTGATAGATAGTGGAGATGGGAAATTTAGCGACATAACCTATAAATTTACATTTCATTTATTGTTTCCCATCTTTAGACGTAAGAGTTTGGAAATTACCGCTGTGACAGTGACAGTTTTAGTTGACATCCTCCTCTGATACGTCTAAAAGTGGGAAACAGTGAATAGAATATAAATTTATAGGTTTCTATCGCTAAATTTCTCATCTCTACTAGTTTTATCTCTTTTATCTTACAACTTCATATGTTTTCCATGGTTTGCGTTATTTTGCCGGTTATTAGCGCGCTTATCATTGTATTTATATAAATATGTAACTACCAATATTTGACATAATTTCTAATATAAAATACAAAAGCCGCAGTACCTATTTTCCTGGTGTTAATTTTCCTAGAACTTAATAGATAAATACTTAATCCGTTTGACCTTGGGAGCGAACTAGTGTGCTCCGCCCTGAACTGCACAGTCATATATTTATTACCAATGCAATTGAAAAAAAAAAATCATGAATCGTTGTGTATTAGTGTCTCAATCGACACAAATTCCTGATCCGTCCGATTAATTCCTCAGTAACTGCCGCACTAAATGTATATTTCGAAATCTTCGATTCATCCATGTTTTATAGAAACATATTTGTTTTTTACGTTATAAAACAACCTCCGTAATTTTTTTATTTTAGAAATTTCATGTACGTCTTTAAATTTTATACACATATCGCACCATTGCTTCAGAAAGTGACACAACTCAAAAATGACAGCATTTGAGTTATCACTATAAACATCAGCCGTAAACAAACCACAAAAAAATCATCAAAAGCATTTCAACTTGCATTCAAAAACTTCCATATGATGGCGACTGGATCCGTTTTGATGATTTTCCACTCGGCATTTCCCCTGCAGCATAAGTGTGACAATGTTAGTTGCGTGCCTGTCTTGGCCGTTGTTAGACGTCGTGCTAACTACTACTATCGCACTATTTTTAGTTGTGTCGTTTTTGATGATTTATTTTATATTTTCTATTGACAATGTTTTGAGTTACCACAGTTTTGTTGAAAATTTGTGAAGAGAGTAAACTGCATTAATTGAAATTGGTTCACTTTTGTAAATTAAAGTAAGTAAAACATGTGTTTTTAATTTGAGTTATGTCACTTTTATTGATGGTGTTTGTAAAGAGCACAAAAATATAATATTTTTATGTTAGATGTTTTTTTTGCTAATGAAGTCGAAATAAAGTTTAGTTTTTTCCGTGTTTTATCTTTTATCTCTATAAAAACTATTTTGATGTTTACGACTACAAATAAAGCAATTATTAGTTAAGAATCATGGCAGTGATTAGCTTGTTTATACTAAATCAGAACAAAATAAACGTGACACAATGAAGGTTCTATTCTTTCTGTTTTTCGTACAATTATGGATTCCATCAAAAGGCGAACCACTGACAAAGAAAATGTTATTTCTATACATCCTTCGACCGACAGTCATGCCCACTGCAGCAATATAATGGATAATCACGGAGAAGATAAGGACAATCTGTATCTATAGTGTATTTTTATGTATGGTAGAGTAATAAAACAATAAATTATGTATGCAAATCCCTAAACTGTTGACACGGGTGACTCAATGAAAAACAGATATTTGTCAACAAGTTTACAGAAGTATATAGGAAAACAATTTTAAATTGAGTATGACCACCAGGTATAAAGGTTGGAGCAGAATAGAATACAATAGTTGTGAGGGTTACTAATCCCTAAATAAGGTTGCCAGTGTCGGAGTGATGGAGGTTAACAGGTACTAATGAATTTGCAAGAAATGTAAGATGTTTATTTTATTGGTTATATATAACCAATAAAAGTTGAATAAGTACCTACCTATTTGCAAAATAAAGTTTAATTCTTTAGATAAAATAAAACGTTTTATTTTATCTGAAATGAGTGCATTCCACGAAGTAAGGGTTTCAACAATCAAACATTTAATTCTTTAATTCCAGGAATCTACGACAGTAATTGACTAGATAATTACCTTCTAAACTTATTCCACAGAAAATGTGATAGTGGGTTTTTCCATTTTGTAGGAAGGTCCAAGTGGCGTTTTCAAAATTCTTAACAGTTCACTAAAAGTAGGTACTTCAGTTGCAAGGTGCAGTTTATTGTGTATACTAGTGTTATGGAAAATTTGGAAGTGCCGAAAAATTGGTCCTTTAACAGTTAATGAAAAAACATTAATATTT